ACCAACTACACTTCACGGTGTGGCTCCTAGCTGGTTTCACCGAACAGAAGTCCTCCGCTCTCAAGAGGTGAAACACGTACTAATGTATAGTAGACGCGATTCTACTCTAAAGACTTACCGTTACAAATGGCGTTGTTTTCACTCATGGTGTTCGGTCAATACTTTCAATGAAATGTCTATCCCAGTCCATCATATTCTGGACTATTTGCTTCACTTGCACCACTGAGGACTGAGACTTTCTTCCATCAAAGTCCATCTCATCGCGATCTCTGCATTTAAACAACCTATTGAAGGATTCACAGTACTTGCCCATCTGATGACCAAACGTTTCTTAAAAGGCCTAACAAATCTATATCCTCTGCACAGAAGACCTCCTGTACTATGGGATCTGGAGCTGGTTTTGGACACCCTTAAATATCCACCCTTTGAGCCATTAGCTACCTGTGATATATCTACACTCACAATGAAGGTCGCATTCCTCCTAGCCATAACATCAGCTCAAAGGATTGGAGAACTGGCTGCTCTCTCCGCTAGTCCACCCTACACTCTATTTACCATCCAGGGAGTAATACTTTGACCTCACCCCAGTTTTTTGCTGATGGTGAATTCGGAGTTCCATATTAACGAACCCATACTACTTCCAACATTCTACTCTAGCCCATACACCTCTAACCAGGAAGCCCAGCTATATACCTTAGTCGTCCGAAGAGCCTTGGTGTTTTACCTTCGGAGAACACGCCCCTTCCATCAATCTCAACGGCTCTTATTCTGCATGGCCGAACGAGTTAAGGGCCAACCATTGTCATCATAGCATATCTCAAAAATGATTGTAAAATGTATTACAACATGCTACTCATTACGAAACAAGTCAATACCTACCTCAATGACTGCTCACTCCACCAGAGTGACATCCACCTTGATGGCTTTTCTCAAAGGTGTCCCACTTCAGGACATTTGTCGCACAGCAACCTGGTCTTCGGACATGACATTTGCGAAACATTACGCAATTGATGCTATTGCTCGTGATTCAGCACTGGCCTCTGCAGTACTTGCCACAGCAATTAAATCCTAATATTAGTCCCACCTTCATACGAGGCTACTGCTCTGTACTTACCTAGGGTGTGTCTAATCTACATGGCTGCATCGATGGAGCCATGTAGATTAGGCTGATCGACAGAGGGAAATGAAGCAGCAATTTAAATAATCGCGGCTTCATTTAAATTTAAACGGCTGCCGCACTCTGCCAACCAGCTGAGGATCAGCTGTTTGTCGGCAGATCGGGGCAGTCTGGATGCGCCGCTGTCGACAAGGAAGCCTTTGTCGACCGGCGCAGGTATGCCTTGATGATGATATACAAGTAGGTTTCATAGTAATTGAAGAGAATATCACGCACGCGCGCTCTCTCTCTCACCCACCCACCATGTCTATAATGAGTAGGTAAAGCCAAGGGGGGATAGAGAAATGGCATTGATGGCAAGTGTTTCCTACTATCCCCTCAAAAAAACCCCCAAAACTCTGAGTGTAAGTTGGAGCTGTTGTTGTCCACATTCATTAATAGTACATCTCTTAACCAACCCTCTAATTTTTTTCCACCGCTGAGCAGAATGAATTTTTTTTTTATATGCACTAAGGCAGAGGTGATGTGTGACGCAGACATGATGTGTAATACACCACCTTCATATTGGGGCACAAAATAAAAATCATGTTACAGAGGTGGGACCAAGGGGTTCTGAGTATGTGAGGGGCTCAGACCTAGAGCAGAGGTTTGGGGTGAGGGCTGTGGCTGTAGCTGTAGCTGAGGGACTTTAGGGCTGGGACAGAAGTTGGGGTACAAAGGCTCTGGCTGGGGGTTCAGGCTCTGTACTGGGGTTGAGGAGTTAGGGGTGTAAGAGGGGGCTTCAGGTTTGGGGAGGTGCTCAGGGCTGGGGATTGGTGTGCCTGCAGGGATACAGGCTCTGGGCTGGGTGCGTTCGCTCTGGGAGTGGGCCTGGGATGGGGGCTTTAGGGTGCAAGACAGGGTGGGGCAGGTGATTGGGACTTGGGCTCAGGATGGTTAGGATGGGCTACTTTCCCGTGGCCGCAGCAGTTTTAGGGCTTGGGGAGAGATCTATCTCCCTCAGCTCTGAGCCCCTGCGTGGGGCTCAATAGGAAGCACACAACTGTGCAGCTTTGGGGGAACATAGTTATCTCCTCTTACTTGTATTGCTTTTTCAGGGACGAACCTAAATAAAGTAAACTTCCGATAATCTGGCACCTTTGGGACCCAGGGGGTGCTGGATTATTGGATATGCCAGAATATCAGGAGATATTCCGGAAGGGAGGCTGTGAAGGGTCTGGGGGGGGAGGGTCGGCGGGGAATGGCGCGGCATGGGGCAAACCCTCCGCCGTTTTGCAGGGAGGCGGAGGAAACCCCGCACAGCTGCTGGTGACAGGCCAGCTGGGGCTGCAAGTGGCAGCGGTGACTTGGGGAAGCGGCGGACCAGAGCAGCTGGGGTGCTACCCGGTTGTTCCCGCAGCGCTGCCTCTCACTCCCCTACTCGACACCCAGCAGCACCCCAGTTGCTCTGCTCCGCAGCTTCCCCCAAGTCCGCCACTCGTCAGTTTCAGTAGTGGAGCACAGCAGCTGGGGTGCTGCCGGGTGCCGAGCAGGGAGGTGAAAGGTGGTGCTGCGGGACCAACCCGGCGGCAGCACCCTGGCTGTTCTGCTCTGCACCTCTTCCCCAAGTCTGCCAGTGGTCAGTTTCAGCAGCAGCACAGCGGACTTGGGGAAGCGACACGGAGCAGCTCCAATTTTCCGGCTGGCCAGAGCACTTCCAGATTCCAGTTGGTGCTGGACTATCGGGAGTGCCAGACCACTGGATGCCGGACAATTGGAGTTTTACTGTATTCATGTATGATGTCTTGCATGCTGGCAACATGGTTAGTGGCCCCATGAATGTCATGTTAGCAGCTAAGCTATTGGTATTAAATGTAGATTTGCTATTTGCAGAAAATGACACTTGAACCAATAAAATTCATACTATCAGCTTTGTAACTGGTGAGCCACTGAAAGGATTAGTCGTTTCAGCATGCATATGGGGTTTTGCCACCTCTCTGAACTTTCTTTTTAGGTGTCATCTGAAAAGGAGAGATATTGTTTAAAAGATGGAGCATGAGTCACTAGTCTGATTTGCAGCATAGAGTGTATGGGTATGTGCAAGCCAGACTGGAACTGTGGTGCCATTTGTTTTGAACAGGCCATGAAGCACTTTGGCATTTACCTGATTTGAGATCAGAGAATTAAACTACCAAGTAAGAACCTCACTAAATGGGAAAAGGGGTTGTTCACCCTAGTATCTTGTCTTGCTGTGCTGTGCTGTCTTGGTTCTCCTCTTTGTGGTAATGCTGTCATGCTTGTTACAGCTGTTTCATAACATCTGAGGAGCTACAGGACAATGTACTCGATTCAAAAATGTACTCTGCCAGCATAGTTTTGCATTTTAAAAATCAATATACTCTGATTTTTTTAATACTTTTTTTTTAAAAGTTAAGATATTAATCAAAGGTTCAATCCTGTAAGGTTCTGGTCTTCTGTGGGCTCAATCTAGTAAAACTTGAAGAAATGAGTAGTTCCTTATTCTAACAGGATTATTCACATTCTTAAAAGTTTACCTTGCATTGATTTGTGGATTGGCTTCTTGTATGATCAAATGCCAAATAAGGCCTTTCAGCATTTACCTGGTAAATTTAAATATAACCATTTACCTGGTAAATTTGTTATTAATAACCTCTTAAAAGAAATTGATTTTTTTGTCTGACCAAATTATTAATAGATGTGATTATAATAGATCCTAGAAAGGCACTTACCATAATCTTAGGTTTTGCATTTTTTAAAAGGTGGTGAAAAAGGCAAAGTAGAATTTCATAAAGGAATAATTTCTTTTCCTTCCTTAATTAATTAATTTTTCTATGTTGCCATAATTTTAAAATGTAGCAATTCGAAGTGACACATGGAATGTCTTTTTAGATTTGGAATTTCTTGTTTATAATGTTCACTTTAATGCTTTCCAGAGTTTCCTGTGAGGGTCAGAGCATATATTTTCTTAAAACTGTTTTTCTGCCTGTTGTCATTGTATGCGTCTCTTTTTTTCTTACAGCTCTTTGATCATGTTGCTGAATGCCTGGGAGATTTCATGGAAAAACAACAAATCAAAGACAAGAAATTACCAGTTGGGTTTACATTTTCTTTCCCGTGTAGACAATCGAAGTTGGATGAGGTAAGAATATTTCAGAATTGTTTTAATGTACAGAAGAGACACCGTACTGTTAATCCTTCCCTGCCCTTCTCCCTGTCAGCAAACCAGCAGTATTCCAGTTGGCCTGACTTCCAATGTAAGAATCAGGTGTTGCACTTTTCATTGTACAGGTTGGACTTTCCTGGTCCAGTACCCTGGGGACCTGATCCGTCCTGAATGAGGGAGTTTGCTGGCTGGGCCATGGAAGATCAATTCTGGTCCCTGGCTGACAGCCTCCAGGCTTTCCTGTGGGGCTGACAGCCTCCCCATCTGGCCACGCTGCCAACCCCGACTGCATTCCGCTCTCTGGTTGTGCTGCTGGCCCCAATGCCACTCTCAGCCCCGACCATACTTCCTGCCCTGCTCCCAGTCCCAGCTGCGAGCCATGGAGAGTTCCTACCTGTGGCACTTCATCTCAGAATTATTTAAAAATGCTTTTAAGCAAATGAACAGTCTGTGCTATGGTATATTAATATTTTAGGTTTAACGAGGATGCTCTAATTGAAAGTAAAGGATAATATATGGGTTATAATTCTGAGGGCCCAGTTCACCAACACTTGCTCATACTGACTAGCACATACTGTGATGAAAAAATGGAAACCGGTCCGAATTTAGTGACCTAATCTTGAGAGATGATGAGCATCTTTCACACTCATTGAATAAAAATAGAAGTTTAAGGTGCTCAGCCCTAACCAGAATCGCTCCACTAGATTGGAAAATAAATATGGTTACAAAATGAAATCTGTCTGGCTGCATTGTAACTCTGAATGCATAATGATTTTTATGTGAAACGCTGAACTGCAGAGTCCCCTGTAGTGTGTTTCTGCATTATTTCTCATCTTTTACTTTAGATAGCTAGAATGACTCAGCAGCATGCTAATACAGTATTGCTATAGAAACTGTGTACCAGTGCTTATGGACTAAGAAGCAATGAAAGTGCACATATTGATGGACATTCAGGATATGGCTACACAGCAACATTATTTTGAAATAACTAGCATTATTTCTAAATAAATTAGTTCACGTCTTCGCAGCAGGCAGTTACTTCGAAATACTGTCAAGCTGGAGGACTTCTTACTCTGACTCCTGTAACCCTCATTGCATGAGGAGTAAGGGAAGTTGGAGGAAGAGTGCTCTATTTCGAAATAAGTGCTGTGTAGATGCTCCCAATTTCGAAATAAACTATTTCAAAATAAGCTATGCCGTTGATGTATCTCAATTTGCGTAGTTTATTTCAAATTAAGCCCTGCTGTGTAGATGCACCCTCAGTGTTTTAAACATGACATCTGTACTAGTTGTAAGGGCCTACATTTTATGGAGAGCATAGCAAATAACACCTTGTTACACCCCTGGTGGACGTAGAGGTGCCAGCAGAAATTTGTGGTATAAACTTGGTCTCAGGCTATGTCTACACTCGTGGCTTCTTGCGTGAGTAATATGCAAATGAGGCTAAGTGTGGAATATCGCCGAGCCTCATTTGCATACCTAATGAGCCACCATTTTTTTCAGAAGAGGCTCTTGCGCAAGGAACGTCTACACTGCCCCTTCTTGCGCAAGGAAAAACCCTCTTGCGCAATGCCGTTACACCTATTACTTGACAGGAAGAACAGCATTGCGCAAGAGGGTTTTTCTTGCGCAAGAAGGGGCAGTGTAGACGCTCCTTCTTGCACAAGAGCCTCTTTTGAAAAAAATGGTGGATCATTAGGTATGCAAATGAGGCTCAGCGATATTCCACACTTAGCCTCATTTGCATATTACTCGCTCAAGAAGCTGCGAGTGTAGACATAGCCTCAGTGTGTAACATTGGGCATTTACCCTTTCTTGTGGGTGTCCCTTTTTAGGGCTAGTTTTATTCACTAATGTTTATAACATGCGGTGAGGTCTTTGGATGGAAGTTGCTCTAGCTGTATGTAGGGCATCTGCTCTTAATATTCATAGTGCGTTTCACATCACAAAATAGGCCCTGAGGTGGTAGGCAGAGGATCATTTAGTCTCTGAGTTTAGGTATAATTAGAAGGTCCAGAAAGAATATACTTTTCCAAACAAAGCCCTTGTAATGAGAGCAGCCTTCAAGCAGTTTATAGAGTTCAAACAGCAGCTGGAAGCCTGTCAATAAAAGAAGCAGCTGTATCGTGTGTCAGTCATCAAATAAGAATTAGAGGCAGGCATGTGACTGAAGAGTCCCAGGGATAGTATCTGAGTTTGAGAAATGTCAACTGTGTATTGAGAGCTTCCCCAAGTAACAGACTCAATAAAATTAATAGTTAGGTAAGCTCTAAGAATATATAACCTACTAGACGCAACACGAGAGCACAGGGTAGTAGAATTATTTACATGGTTAACGAGAAGTCCTGTGGCACCTTAAAGACTAACAGACTTATTGGAGCATAAGCTTTCATGGGCAAAGACTCACTTCATCAGATGCATGTCCCTTTGCCCACAAAAGCTTATGCTCCTATAAATCTGTTAGTCTATAAGGTTCCACAGGACTTCTCGTTGTTTTTCCAGATTCAGACTAACGCAGCTACCCCTCTGATACTTATTTACATGGTGTAATCGATGTACATGGTGCTGTGTAACAGGCAAAATGGACTAGTCCAAAAACAGAGTACCTGTACGGAAGAGTGGATACTTGCAGGCAGTGGTCTTGCACTGGGATATGCAAGGCTGGACTCCTGCACTCGCAGGGAGGCCTAATGACTTCTGCTCTGGAGAATTTTGTCACCGGGTATAATGTTTCCTAGGGTTATCCAGGGTTCTGAGACCTCTCTATCATCTCTGTAACCCTTACTCATCCCTGTGCCCTTTGCCAGTTGGCACCAAGAGGTCCCTTGCACAGAGTGTCCTTAATGGCATGTGGGCAAGAGCAATTACTTAGGAGTTAGTTACAGTCTATATCTGGGTGGCCAACCCGTTCCAGGCGAAGAGCCGGGGCAAAGTTGAGCAAAAGAACGTGCTGCACTGGGGGAAAATAGGTGCTGGTACACCGTCCCACAGCTGCCTTTTTTTGAGGGGGGGTAACTTTTCCCCCAGTCTTCGCGGACCTGCCTTGTTTGGTTTGTTTTGTTTTGTTTGTTGGCTCAAAAACTTTGCCCCGGCTCTTCACGCTATCTCCACTGCTGTTGTGGCTCACAAAAAAAGCCCTGGGAAGGGGTGAGAGGTGCAAGCTCTGGGAGGGAATTTGGATGCAGGAAAAAGTAGATAAGAGGCTGCTGGCTCAGAGGGGACTCCAGGCTGGAGAGTGTTGGGGTCAGGTGGAGGGTTGGGGTGCTGAGCAAGCCGCTGACCAAGCCGCAGGCTTGTGGCTGTGAGGGTGCAGGAGTTCGGGCTGGGGTGCATGAGGGGCTCAGGGCAGGAAGGCTGGGAGTATAATGGTCTCAGGACACAGATTTGCAGTGTGTGGATGGTGCAGGAGCGTTGTGGCAGAAGACAGGATGTTGGGGTCAGGAGTTTGGGGATGTGAGAAGCTCAGGACGGGGTTCAGTGTATGATAGGTTCAGGTCTGGGGGGGTGTAGGAGTGTTATCATGCTGCGGCCAAGGTTTAATTTAAAAAAAAAAAAAAAATTGTGTCAAACACAAAATGTTTCAGTGTTGTCTTTATTTATGAGAAGGGCTGGGAACCTGTTTTGAGTCGGGTCACTGACCCACAGAGAAGTCAGTCGGGGCCACACAAGTGAGATGCAAAAAAACAACCCCTCCAAACCCCCTCAAGCCTCACTAATGTGACCTCAACGGTGCTGGTGGGGGCAGTGGACAGGGTGCTGGGGCAGGGTACTCATGGGAGGGGAAGTGGCCAGGGGGAGGGGACAGAGACAGCAGGGGCCAGTACCTGGGGATCCCAGGTCTCAGGAAGCGCACGGGCTGCTCTTCCCCTCCCATAAGCAGCTGGTGCGCTTCCTGAAATTCACGGTCTGTTGCTCCGCCAGGGACTTCTTTCCCTTCTGCTGCCTGCCTGCTTAGGGTGTGGGGGTGGGGGTCTCAGGACTGAATGCCAACTCCAACTTCTTAGGAAGCACGCGCTCTTCCTCTGCTCCCCATGATAGCAGTGTGCTTCCTGAGAAGTTGGAGCTGGCATGCAGTCCCAAGATTCCTATTCCTTCCCTGCTCCCCTCTGCTCAGGCAGGCAGCAGGGAGAAAAGTCCCCGGTGGTGTGACAGACCTGGCATTTCAGGAAGCATGCCAGCTGTTGAGGGGAGGGGAAGAGCAGCCTGCTCTAACCCAGTCCCCCTTTCCTTCCCCAAAGCCAGGCACACCCTGACCCCTGCCCCTGACCCAGTCCCCCCTCTCTTCTCCTTCCCTAAAGCCAGGCACGCACCCCCACCCAATCTCTCTCTCCTCCCCTTCCCCAAAGCCAGGTACACCCCCCCCAACCCAGTTCCCCTCCCCCGCAGGGGAAGAGCAGCCTGCTCTAACCCAGTCCCCCTTTCCTTCCCCAAAGCCAGGCACACCCTGACCCTGACCCAGTCCCCCCTCTCTTCTCCTTCCCTAAAGCCAGGCACGCACCCCCACCCAATCTCTCTCTCCTCCCCTTCCCCAAAGCCAGGTACACCCCCCCCAACCCAGTTCCCCTCCCCCGCTCTAACCTAATTCTTGGGTCCTGGAGCTATAGCCGTGCGTCTTCCTCCAAGCGCTGGGGCACGTGCGCTGAGTGGCTGGCTTTGAGCATGAGTTGGCCGGGATGCCGTGCACAGCCCAATCCTCCTTCCCTTCCCTTCCCCAGAGCCAGACACCTCCCCTCACTGCTGTAACCCAATCCCCCCCCACACCTTATGCTCGGGTCCCGGAGCCAGAGCTGCTGCGTTGCATCTGGGACGCCATGTGCACTGCCCCCCTCCTCCGATCCCCTCCTGGCATCTCCCCTCCTCCCCACCTTGTGCCCTGGTCCCAGAGGGCTGCCTGCACTCAGCAGCTGGCTGCTAACACATGCAGGCTGGGACGCTGTGTGCAACCCAGCATGCACGTGCAGGGTATGATGTAGTGC